ATCATAGATGCCATTTAGACTATATAGTCTCAATGACCCAGTGGAATTCCTCCGGTGTGGTAATTTAATATGTAAAGATTTCAGGTTTTTTCTTTATATAAATTTTTCTCATACATTCACGCAGAAATCAACCAATATTATGGCTTCAGAAATGGACTCTACAGATAATTTCAGCCTAGGCCACCACTTGACCCATTGTTGGAACCCTCACAGTTTGGAAGTGACACCCCCACAGACACATATCACAAGGCCAAACCCCAATCAAGCACATCTCACACCCCTCAAACCACCTCTCAATTATGTGTATACACAGCTCACGGTATGAACATAATTTCCCACACCTCTTTATCTCCACCACCTAAATTAGTTTGGTTCTATTTGTCACCTCATGCACTGCCTTTGCAGGCTGGGCAGTCTTGATTGAATTACTTTTTCCCACAGTTTATTCATTTTCTCACCTCACTTACAACAACAGCTGAATTTTTTCCCCACAATTTATTGCCTCATTTGACACTTTCTCACTTTATTTACGCACTGCAGCACAGCCTTTGACATTAATTGTACACAGCCTCACTGGTTAATTTCCCTCACTTGCATGATCAGACTAGTTAAATTCACTCATTTGTACCTACAGGCCAGATAAAATCACTCTTTCTTGTCTGTCCTGGAGCTAAATTCCCTCACATTTGTCTATAAAAGGAGGCTCTCTTCCCCCCATTAGTTCATAGTTCATTCACTCATTCAGGCAGTCAATTACTCAGCAGTCAGTCAATATATATATAACTCACCAGTTACAAACAATTATATAAACCCTTCACCTGTTACACAACATAACAGTTTCTTTTATAAGCAATTATAACTTCAACTTTTATTATTTCATCCAAACAAAGTTTTACCAGAACCGACCAATCCTATCACGTTATTAAAACTTTCCAAGCTAAGCTTGGTGGGTCTTGTTTCTGATAGTATAGAAGGGCAGAGTTTGCACCTCCATTTTTCCCCTTCTCAATTCAGCAAAAGGGTTTCACAACTACTTTTGAGTCTTACACCGGATTGTTGAGGCGGTAAGGCCTCAACAAGTGTGTGTTTGTGGGGGGGGGGGGTGATTTCTTTGATTGCCTCTTGATTGACTCTTATCTAAGCAAATCTCTTGAAATATTTTTGCTTATATCAATGAAGTGAGAATACACTTCTCCTTTCACCCAGGCTTGCAGGCTATCTCACCCAAATCAAATTGGAGGGGAAAGCCGCACACCCCCACAGCCATGGTGTGAATATCTGCACACCTAGGGGCATGGAGAAAAATCTATCCAAAAAAACAGGTGGGTTTTACCAACAGTGCAACAGATACAAGACATATATTTGTATTGGATTGTATTGTCTTTATTTTGAGCCTGATACTGGTATCAGTATTTTCTTGGTTGGTGAAAAAACTTATTGTCTTGGATTTGGATTTACAAATGAAAAAAAAACCCTTTTTTTTCTTCTTTTTTCTTCATTATGGCCAATTATCTTGTTTATCAAATACAGTTTTGGTGGGATCAGTCATCTGAGACAATACAGAATACTTGTCTCAATTTTCAAAGACAATACATGTGTATTGTCTCAGGAAAAATAAACGCCTGATACTGTCTTGTATTGTCTCTGTTGCACTGTTGGTTTTACTAAATGCCCCTTTTGCAGGGATGGGAAATGGGCAAGCACAAGGGGGGGGGGGGGGGGCAATACCCCCCCCCGCTGCGGAGGAAGGGACACATATGTTTACTGAGCTGGGGAGTGGAGGACTTCCTGTCAACATCTGCCGGTCTCCCAGAGTCGGTTTAGAGCCTTGAAATTCAAATTTCTCTGCAAGAATTAAGAGTTTTCAGGTCTAGATCAACTTCTGTGAGGGTCCCAGATCCAACGGGAAGTCCTCAAGTACCAAGTCCCGAGGAGAGAGGAATTCCAAATACCAACTGATAAGTGGAGATTCTACTACTAAAATCAAATGAATCAAATTTGCAAATTCAAACAATTCAGTTGACCAAAAAAATCAAATCAAACAATGCAGATATCGGGCTGGAAAGCATAAGCTGGTTTTCAAGAAAATCTGAAAGCCACACAGTTCAAATAACCACTATTCACATTCCATGATTAACAATCATTGATATGAAATGCTGATACACTCTCCTCCATTCAGTAGCATTTAAAATCTGATCCAATCTCATGCCATTTCTGGAAAATAAATTTCAAAAACAGTATCAGAATCAAGCAAATGAAAAACATAAACAAGAAACACCAACATTTTTGTCTTGCTTGGAACTGCTTGCAAAGTGATATAGCACACATCATGCAACCAATTTCCTGTAAAATAGTTGGATTCCCCAATTGAAGGAAGATAATATCTTGTATTTTTCAGTGATCAGAATTAGTGTTAAAACTATGTCAGAAAGTTGATTCATGACTGAGAATTCAAAATGTTGAAATTTTGAATTTGCCCCACATCAAATGACCCTTCAAAATGCTTTTGTATCTTTCCTCAAGTCCAAGAGCATTTTGTGTAGCTTCAGTGTATGTATCAAGCGACCTAAAATAATTGAATATTCATCTCAGTCAATCAGTTCTTTTTCTGAAACAATCCATCCATAATTTGCAATCTTACATTGCTCTCACAGCATTTTCAGTCCTAATATGTTCTTGGGGAAGATGTAAAGATGATTGTTGGCTTTCTGTACCACTGGTCAGTTCTCTCAATGATTTTCTGCCCCTAAAAATATCCACAAAGAAGCTCTCATCAGATAAACTATTTATATTTAACATTAAAAGGATATGGATAGGAATTTGTTTTAATCTTTTGTTTTGTGTTTTATTCAGATACTTACAGTTGAATTGCATTGCTACTAGATTCATTCATTGAGCGCCTTGACAAACTGGCTTCAGGGAAGCGGCTTTCTGTGTATGTAATACATATGACAAGAGTGACATAAATAGCTAGGAGAGCTTTAATATGCCTAGGCATCCTTGAAGAAGCTATAGAAAGGATAGAATGGTGCAAATTTTGTGAATGAAAATAAATTTGATGAGAGATGATATGAGCACATAAAATGTTCAAGAAGAGGGGAATTTATAGAATCTGATTCATCTGCTTGGGCCAAGCAAGCTAGGCAGGTGTATATGTCAGGGGTCCAATACATTCAATGGTGCAATCTGGTGATGAAAATTAAGTTAATCTGAGAGTCTAGGCCATCTAGACTGATCATTAATTACTCATCTAGCAAACACCTGGACATTCAATTTAAATAGCAGGTCACAGATTGTGTACATACAATTTTCCAAACTTTGTGATATCCAATGTTCATTGGATGGCATTCGAAATCAAGTAAAAATTGATTACTACTTCTCTGTAGCTCCATGTCTGTTGCAACCCAAAAACAATTATCCCTTTGTGTGCTACAGACTGTACAGGGATATGTACATATTAGAAGGCTGATCCTGACTTGATTTCACTTGCCATCAGGTGATTCTTGTTTTTTTCTGGTGTGGCTTGATAATATTTCTCTTAAAATAGCCTTCTTGCAAGAGGTTTCATGCTGACTTGATAGACCCAGACAAAATTTGTGTCAAAATATGTAGGCTTTCTGTGAGGAGATCATACTCTTACCCATGCAAATGAAACAGCCACTGGGAAAGTAAAATATTTAATTGAGGTACAGGGAAATCTAAAAGGTCTTGGAGCACCAATGGAGTTATGTAAATATTAGTGGTTGGTGTGTAGGGGAAAAAAATATTATTAGGTGGTTTGAGCTGGTTTTGTTGAGCAGAAAACAATAGTAGTGGTTTGAGGTAGAGGCTGTACTTGGCATGCTTGCAAGATCAAGCATGGTAATGTTGATGCTATTGCTGTTCTATTGGTGAGATAGAGAAGGAGCTGTGTATGACATCAACTATGAATTTTGAGTTTTCTGTGTATTGTGACTTCATGGATTCAATATTCCAAAGTTCTGTTTTTATGCAAGCATTGAGTCAAACACAAGTTGACAATACCTCAGATGAGGTACACATAATTTGGGGTCAAGTTGGCCAAGTTGGCAGTGGTGACAATGAAATAGAGACCTTGTTTTGGGTGAAGTGCAATGAAGTCATCAGCTGAATGTGCTGTGGTGGTCAAAATGGTGCTGTAAAATACAAACCTAGAAACATTGATTGAGATGTGAGGCAATGATCTCAAAGATGAGGAAAGAAGAGATAATCAATAGATACAGATGACTAGGTTGTTGAGTGAGCCAGATGCAAATGAAACAAATTGTGATTCGTCATTGAAGATTACAATTAAGTTTGTATGAAGCAGTTGCAAAATGAACAAGGATGCATAGGGAAATTGAGTTTGATAGCAACAGGGCCCTGATCATCAGCAAAACATGTGTATAGACAAATCAGCAAACATGTGTATTAAAATCCAGTGCTGGCCAGTTTGAATTTAGGGCCTGTACCGTAGGGTTCAATTTTCAAAAATGGGCATTTTTTCCATCCTCTACACAAAAACTGGGAACAATTGGAGAGATCTGGTGTTGAAATTATTCACTTTCATGCCAAAGATCAGCTTCTAGTTATGGTCAATTTTGATAATATAAAATTTTGAGCAAGATAAATTTTGAGAAATTGAATTTTCATATCATATGGTACAGGCCCTTAATCATCAGCAAGCAAGGTACCGCACCCGCATCGGAAAGCAGCACCTCCCGATGTGAAGAGTGCTACGTAATAGGGTAGCTCACATACTATTTCTGTTGCACTGCTGATGGCAAACCTTGCTAAAATCTGATCTTTCCTGATGTAACATCAAGCAGATTAGCGGGGAAACTTGCTTTATTATCACACACTTGAACTAATAAGCAGAAATCATGCAAGCTTGTTAAACATCAGCAACACTTTTGGGTTGAGCCTTAGGTGGTGAACTGCTCCAATCAATAGTCAGTTCTCCTCCAATAAGCAATCAATTTTGATGGGAAACTATTGGGTGAGAGAAGACAAATTTCAAACATCCTACTTGCCAATGAAAAATTGATCTGATCCTGGCTGTGAAATGGCATAGATTCCGCCGCTGCTGATTGTCCGTCTGCGCTCGCAGAGGCAATACGTTTGCTGGAGTTGCCGGTCAAAAGAAGGTCATCTTGACCCGTGGTGTATCAGTCATTAGGTTGGCGTCTTGCTGACGCTATCGTCAGAAAATCATTGCGGATGCACATCAATGTTCGTCTCACAAAAGACTGCGTGCAATATGTTTCCAATCTCGTCCTGGCCCCCCGGCGTTCTTAATATGATACATATTTTCAGTGAATGGTTGATAGATAGGCTGTTATTTTTACTTTTTCTCGCACCTCAGGCACAGCAAATCACAGGCTCACAATTGCGGGGCAAGTCCTATGACTTCACAGCGTCACGAAGTTAATATGTATGCGGGTTGGCTACTGCTCTTAACTATACCTCCCGTTGCGTAGCCCTACGGGGCACCCGGGATTCCGGGTTCAAGTCTGTTCAAGCGGAATGGATGCTGAAGGTCACATCGCCAGTTTGACACGCGATCGGCCACCCGAATCTCCAACAGGCCCGCATGTTGCAAAACTAAATAAACAATTTGGGGCCCGACGCGACCGAGCTGTCGAGCCCGATAACATACAGAGCTGCCGACTGCTTCCGGAAGACGGTGACCAGAAAAACGCATGTCGAAGAATTCTCTCGAGTCAGGACCCTCCCTCCCTTGGCCGAACTTCCTATCTGGTTCTCAATTTTTTCGGCATTGAGCTGGCCCCAGTTCTCAGTTCCTTCCACTGTAATGCCCAGGCGCGTGGCATTGACTGTTCATACGTGTCAGAACTAGTAATTGCAGGTCTAGTTGCTAAGAAGCTTGATGCGCCCGCATCTTTTGTCTTCGATTTCAATCGACAAGTTAAACGTATTTTTTAGAGCCAGACCCAGGCGGACTAGTCCGGCAATTGAACTTGAAGTGGAGATGGCCACCTGATGCCTGCGCAAAGGGTCATACCGAAGATTATTTCGACGGTATTTCAAGTTTTTGTTTCCCCACATAGATTGAAAGCAAGCCACAGACTGTGACAGGATGTCCAGACCTACCTGACCTGGCATACAGACTGAGCTCTTTGCTGGATGAGTTCAAGAGCCGGAGGCCCCACAGCACCTCACGTTTGACCAGTGGCCCATACCACCAGCACTCACTGATCGGGCAAACTGCTTGAACCGCTTGCTGGCTAAGTTCTGTATGTACGACCAGGTCTGCGATCTCGCTGCGCGACCGGTCAGTTCACTCTGTGCTATCACAGCTCCCCGAGCAGTACTTGATGGGAGTGCCGTCGGCGTCGACGATGTGCTCCATAGTTATCTGAGTTGACTAACTTGTGCTAAACCATGATGACCGTTCTTCACCAACTCAACTCGTTGATGTTTGCAATTCTTCTCTCGCAACAGCAGTTCAACGTCTTACGACATACTAGCTCATCCTACTCATTTAAATACGTACAACTCTCGAGTCAGTTGCAGACTTTCCGCCTCCCACCCCCAATTTGCCACTACTTCCATGCCTACAGAAGGCCGAATCTCTATTGATTGGTAAAGTATCCGTGTTCTGGGGGCCTTATTAGTGTCAAACCTGCGTCAAAACCATCGTGACTACACTTAGTATCCGTATAGGCGACATTCTGAGAATGCTTCTCTTAATCAAAAGGTTGACCTTGTTCTTTACACTTGTTCCTAACCGAAATTGCACGCCCGTGGGATTCGAGAATTTCGCACTTGAGGAAACGGCTGAGACGCTAAACCATGCAGGGGGTACGGCTTAATTTCCTACCTGCTATTTGGAACAGCATCGCATGAATTGCAGTATAACTGATCCACTTGAAAAATTGCCATTTCAGCGATGGAATCGAGAAAACAAAAATTACCGTTCAATCCACAAATGGGTGAGGAAACTCTACTTCATACTCTCAGGAAATGAATTGCAGCTGAGCACGCTGCTTTCTGTGTGGTTTTAGAAGCACAAAAAAAAGATTGGCATTCTATGATCCAGTCTTATGATTTGCTATTGGACTACAAACACAACATAAAGGAAAATGAAGCTCAAACCGTTCACTTTGAAACCATAAACAACGCAGTCCAAGGATTGACCATATGCCACAACTACCTTCGCCATATATTCGGAGTACCAGGAGAATCACTTCGAGATGCTTTAGGCGTACATAAGGATCCATCTGAAAGGCTTGAAGAATCTGATGGTGCATACAAAAGCTCCATTTGGAATCTTATTTCAGTTTTAGAAACCCCCATGAACATGCCTGAGCCCCTCCATCATGTCCAAATCGCTGGCAATGACTGTATCTTGCAGACCATAGAATACATACGTAAATATAACCTTGCACCGGCTGGTATGGCTGAGGAAATTCAAATCTCATTCAAGAGTCAGCGTGCTTTAGAATGGCTTACAAAGTCCTCTATAGATATATTTAGACAAGGGACAAAGTTTCATAATGATTATCATTGTCGGCCGTTTGAAGAAGTACATTTGAAAAATCATTTCCAGCTGACTAATTTCAATAATCTGTATCAAGGTGAGTTCCTCATTGCTTTGTTCTATGAAATCTGATTGTTGGAAAGATTGACCATATGTTCTGAAGCAAGCTGGTTTATTTCCACCTCATGATTTGAAAAATGTATATATACACAGATCTTTCAAAGAGTCAACAGGATTGGTGTTTATTTCAATATCTGGCGGCTAGGATGAATCCTAAAGCACAAAAAGCAATCATGGAAGATGAAACTTCCCCGAAAGGATTTTTCAAACCAATGCTTGAACTGATTCAATTTTCAAGAAAGCTAAAGAAATTTCTTCTGAACGAGCTAGAGAGCGATAACAACCTTCTTGATCCAAGAATCGAATTCTTGAGGGATAGCAAAGTTGATTTGGTTAAGTTGATTGAATTTATCACCGAACCGGCTTTGGAGCGTGGTATGAGTCTATTTGATCTCAAGATCATTGTTGGAAATATGTTTGCAACAGTAGACTTCATCTTGAGCAGATTTCTAAACGGTTACAGAGATGAAAACGGATCAGGATTACAAATGACCAAAGCAATGGAATTCAGAAAAAAGATGAAATTGCTTAGACTGGCGACCAATATTTACATATGGAGGAACATGGTCTTTGATTACGACCACTACATTTCAAAATATGAAGATGAGGGTCATAAGATACCTAAAAGCGTCCAGGAAGCAACAAGAAATTTCTACTGGAGAAACTTGAACAAATATGTTGCATCTTACAAAAGCATGAGAGACAACCAATCAAAGCAAGACTATGACTGGAAACAGAAAATTGAAGGCAACATCTATTACAAGCATATCACAGATACATATGATCGTGAATGTGAGAAATTGGAAGACCTACACAGGAATTTTGAGAACTCAAAAGAATGAGCCCACATTTATTCAGAAAGCTATTCAGATAAATGTGCTCAAATGACCTGATAATCTGGAGGGTGTGGTGACTCATTTATGCCTGTTTCTCCAAGTTTCAAACAAAAGATCAAATACATAAAAACTTGATTCAGCATGTTTTTCTCATTTTCTGCTCATTTAATGGCTTATCATATTAGAAGAGTTACTACATTAGATTTTTTTTTGTTGCTAGAATTCAAGAGATTAAAGTTTTTATCTGAATATAATGCAATGTTATCCTGGATACAAGTAAGTATGTAGATTCAACAGTGGTTCAAATAGTTACCTAGAAATATCCCCAAAGTCACTTTCTATTGCAGTTTTCAGATCCTCAAGGGTTCTTGTATAAATACGTGTGCTTGGCTCTCTGGAATTTACGTATCAGATTGATAGGTTATCTACTAGCAAAGCAGCCAAGCTAGGCTATTTTATTAGACACTAATTTGAATGCATCCATCAAAAACTATGTGTGAAAGGTTGGTAGTCTAGGTCTATATAATTACTTGTGATTTGCCTCAAGGAATCATGCAGGTGTTTAAAGATTTGTGAACATGAGATAACTTATCCAAGCTGGATGGAATGACCAGCTTCTGTCCAAATCTCAGGGGCCTTTGGGGTAGGTTTGGCGTGGATAAGATAGAAAGTAAACTACACAAATCTCCTGGAAAGGTGATAAATTATTTGGCTAGACTCGAAATCCTGATTAGACATTGGGGAAGGCTGTGTCAATAGTTGACTTACACGGAAGCCAACTACAAATGAGAGTGATGCGACGTCGTGAATCATGGGCACTGGCTTTGAATAAAAGCAGTGTCTGAGAGATACTCTGCTTTTTTTTCTCTTGTCCGTGTCGCTGTGGGTTGATTGTCATTCTATCAAAAGGCTTTGATTTGTTTTTGGAGTAACAATTGGCAATGACCCTTGCTAGAATGAGCTTACCTCGAGTGGAAACGCCCTGCTATCCCATGGAGGGGTTGTTTTGCTACCCTAAGTAACCTCGAGTTGCATTCCTGTTATCTGTTATCGGTAGTGAGTGAAGATCGTTCCGGACCGATTTATTTCTTTGAAACGGCGTTTCTGTGGGCGGTACTATCAGCTGTTCATTGTAAAAACTAAGCGGAGGTTTTGTTTGATTCTCTTGGCTATCGTCCCACCAAACAAATCGGCTCCAAAATAAATGACAGCATGCAATAACAAAACCCGCAATAGTGGCATGTTACAAGGTTTTTTGAAAAAAAAAATACATTTTACATGGATCCTCAATTGTGCACTCTTGTGGAGACTATGGTTATATTGTGATGTCCGGAAGGAGCGCATTCACTAAATGAAGAATACGCAAAGAAACAAATAGCTTCAGCGGGAGAGGGCATTGAAAACACTAAAGCAAGAATCATTGTTAACGAAGGGATAGAGTACAATGGCTTACGATGTCCAAGAAATCAGCGCATTCCAATCTAAGCCAGTTCAAGATAATCAAACCATCAATGTATGCATGTTATGTAATGAACTTCTCATAATTTTGCAAAGATCACTGACAATTGGAGGGCAAGCTCTATGGGAATCTGATCGTCAAAGTTATGAGCAGATCCCTTACCGGCGGATTGGCCGTCTGGCGTCGTAATGTGATGATGTCTGAAAAGCAGGTAGTGACACAGTTTTTCGACAACCGGGGCCCTGCATGGATAACTTAGCCCCGATCAGAAAGCTCCTTTTCTTCGTATTTCGATATTAGATTTGAAAGAAATCATAGCTGGAAAGAATACAAACGAATGCATGAGGTTAACTACACCAGATTCAGACTCCAGCATTCCAATGTCCTCTACATCGGGAGGAGGGAATCAATAGAAAGGATATCCAGTCAGTGATTACATTTTGGTGGTACTTTTTGAATTTGAAAGAGCTATTCTCTCTACCTGAAAGCATATCCTTGAGTGTATTGGACAAGACGGCCGCTTGCTTGGGGATGATAAACCGGAAACCTATTACGCGAACAAGCCAAGGATCGGATCTTAGTTCGTCGTTTCCAATCCTTCGCGTACCACGAAATACATCCGCAAATCGATTGACTGACCTTCTTCAGAGACAATCGTCACATACTTCGATCCATTGGAGTTCTGTACCATCGTGTTCGGTGTTGCATTGGACGTGCTGGAAATGGAAATGGCGCAAAGGCGAAACCATCGCGTTGATCTCGCTTCGACCCCCGAGCCCCCCGAGTCATGCATATATGTGCCCCCGCCCCCCTTCCTCTGTCATTCTCCTTTTTCTTCAGAGCTCTACCCACGGCACTACTGTTTTGAGTGTGAATGTATTCCTCTTTGTAGAGCTTCAGTTTGACCCATCACCCTTGTCATCAACTCACAGATCTCTTGCCTACCCAACTGTTGAGAAGTCAGAGGCAAGGCAGTGAAGTATTTTATAAGCAAAAATCAACGTTCTTCCCCTGCGGGGGACTTATCATTCCAGCTGCTCGTTCAGCTTACTTATTCAAGGTTGTAGATCCGAAACACACGAAGGCTTAACAAGTGGCACTGAGCAACACACTTGATCTGATTCTGCGGATGTTTGAACAATGTCAAGCATTAAGGAGTTGGTATTTTCCTACATAGTGCGGCCATGATGTGTTTGTGGGGTAATTACGGCCCCTGCGATGCCGAGTAAAATGAGTCGTCTAGGACTACAAAAATATGTTGGGCTTGGCGGTCCTAACCGACTGTTGTATCATTTTCACTGAAATTGCGGAGTCGCAAGGTTGATGACCACGGCGAATGTGGTCCGAGGCTGAGAACCACGCATCCCGGAAGGCGAGGCCCGGGCGAGAGTATGATGGCATCGAAACTATGTAGTCGGCCTCAGGAAATTAGACAGTCGGAAGCTAAGGATCCATTCACCTTGTCGCCCCTTCATTTTTTCGTATCATCTCCATCGTTCGCCGTTGGTACCTTCAAGGTCGAGTAGGTAACTGGCCCTCGCATTGCCAGTGTCTCCTCCAGCCGTGGTGGCCCCTTAGCACCGGTGGCCAAGGCTAAGTGTCGTCCATACTCCTCTCAGCCAAGTCGCGATGGTCCCATACATAACATGAGCCAGTTACCGGAGAGAGTCACTGGGCAAGCAACCTCAAGCAACACGATCGGAATCCAAATACATAACCCATGTTGTATGTCTCACGGATCTTGATGAAGTTTGAGCCGGGCTGTATGACCGACGGTATTCGACTCACTGCGACTAGTTGACGACGTGTCACTCTGTATTTCCTTGTGTTGCAGAGCAACCAGCACTTCGTTGTTGATGGGCTGGCTGGCTGGTTCATAGCCCTCATACATAACACTTCATAACACGCTGCTGCTCCTTACTTCCTTTGCCCTCCGAGTCCTATGAATAGCGGATACACAGTTCCTTAAGGATCATCTATCGACGTGTCTCGCCTGCTGAGCTCCAAAAAACTCTTACAACTTTCCGGAGAGCTTCATTAAAATAACCAAAGAATTATCAGGAGAACTATACAACCAGCTCGTCATAAGCTCCTCGAGTGGAACCCATACCTTCGCCCCTCAGGTCAGTAGCCTCAATTCCCCTATCTCATTTTAATTCAAGGCATAGAGGACTAAACGGGTTTGCCATCTACAGTTTGCCGTCTCCCCGCCGAAAGACACCGACGATGTATCGCCCCGCGGCAGCCAAAAGTGACCATGCTGCTTTCGACATCCCCTCCTCTCGACCCCTGACCTCACCTAAATTGCACACCCGTCACAAACGGTCTCGTTCCCGCTCAAAGCTTCCACCGGCACTCTATGACATCCTTTATGTCTACCCGGCCTCCTTCCGTACCCTTCTCTTTCTTCTGATTATCGGGGGAATTCTATTCTGGCTTTCCACCCATCTTTTCGTCTTTGCTCGCTTCATGTTTGTGGATACAGTGTTTTCTGCAGGCTGGTTCGCATCCCATCATCTGGCGCTCAGGAAACAGCCGTTGCTATTTGTACATTCGCCTTGGTCAGCCGCGATTGTGTGGGAGACCACTCAACCCCGATCAGAAGGAAACCACAAACACGTAGGCATCGGATTACGTTACTGGAAGCAGATTCAAACCAATACCCGCGCCTCCGGATTCGGTTTCCCCAAAACGACTGCCAAGCCGCACTTGATCGCTCCGAAGGTACAGGTAGAGCAGGCTGAAGGTCGAGAGGGTCGAAACAGATGGGTCCACTCGGTTCATTTGGACCATCTAGAATCTGGTACCACTTATGAATACGAACTTGTCCTGGAATCCGGCAGCATTGATCCGCTTACTGGTCTTCCCGCCACGGTCAGAACCTACGGCAATTACCAATTCAAATGGCTAGGTGTCAACCCACCCGACCCTGCCTCGGTTGACCATCTCTCCTCTATGGTCGTGACCACCAACAAAACGATAAGTCCAATCGAAATGTTTGTCATCGGTGACACTCATTCCAGTCCTGGAACTCTGAGGCCGTTGATTAAGAAAGCACACAACTTGAAATCTTACCTGCCCCCTCGAGGAAGTTTATTTGGAGTCCGTAACATAACCAACTCCCCGCCGCCGTCGCATCCACACTTGATGATTCACATGGGCAACGCAGTCCAAGAGGCCCGCGATTTGAAGCAGTGGCAAACCGAATTTTGGGACCCGGTCACCTTTCAACAGAAATCCAGCTCTGAGATCCCAATCATATATGCCCGCGGATCCCACGACTTTGACGTCAAAGGAAAGAGTATCTATACCGCTGGTCTGTCGCATGTTCAGGTTGGTGAAATCAATCGGACGCGAGTTGCTTTATTGAAGAATCAAAAGAACAGAGTTATCTTGCCCGGTGTCTCCATTGCCGAACGTCAATATGGGGCCATACTTTCCGCACCCAGGGATCATCGAACTCGTGGCACTTTCTTTGCCTACTCGCCCCATCCCCGTGCTAGAGTGCTTGTATTGGACAGCAACCTTGCCGTTGATAGACAGGCATTCTTTAAGAGTCGTAGCAGTCTCACCGAAGTTGGTGATCAGGAACATTGGTTGCTCTGGGAAATGGCGCGGCCGGAATGGAAAGAAGCCAGTCTTCGACTTATCGTTGTCAACCAAGCCCCTTTTGTCGAACACGCTGATGAGCAGATGTGGAAGCACGACAAGGATGCCCAACTGTGTGTTTTTTTTCTCCTGCCCAGAATTCGACTCAATGAGCATAACCAGATACTGATTTACCGATTTTAATGGGACTTTTTTGTTTTTAGAAATCATTACATCCGCACAGTATACGCGCCCCATTTCCATGCGACCTCCGATGTGACGAGGATGTATGACATCCCACCAGCAACTTTGGTCATTTCATCCAACGAAGTTCCGGCTTACTCTCGCGGTCTGCTTCGGACTTACTTTACCCCTTACTTCTTCGAAAATGGCCCATCTTCAAACATCCCACCATCGCTTATCAAGCAGCACGAGATGGCACGCTACTCCGACCTTGATCCGCATTCGCATGAAGAGGACCATGGAGTGATATATGTGGTCACACCCGGATCAGGAAAGTACCAGAAAAACGCGCCGTCAAAGGTGGAACATTGGGGCTTTTACGAAACATCTCAGAGTCACCTGAAACAGCATAAGACTCGTGCCACAAGTGGCGGTGGCGCTGATTACTTCAGCCCTCTGACACTCGACATGGCGCCTGAATTCGAAACCGACGAGATGTGGCTCGAAGATTCGCATGAGAACACGGCCCGACGACAGCGGTGGTCTGACGAAAATGTCCGGGTCTATCGGATCGCAGGTAGTCAGCTGCCCTGCCCCATCAAATATTCTGAAGGTGATCATCACATCAAACAGTACACCGCCATCGACCGACTATACTGGCGTACCATGGATGCCAAAGGAAGACTGGTCGATCGGTTCGTGGTCGAAGCGACAAGCTGTCGACAAACGAACTGAACAGTTTTACACATCGTTGCGGCTTGGATCGACGGGTATCATCGATAATTTGAAGATTTTTCTCTTTCCTTACGATCTCCTGTTGAAACCGAAAGTTTTTCAATTCTGTTCGGAATCAGTGGGCTAGCTGTGCGTTGCATTCACTTATATTAGCCGTGATGTTGCGGACTTGTTTCTCTGGAGAAGGCTTGCCAATCGTATCTTGCTTTCTTGTCCCATAAATCTTATCCACTACATATTACAAGCGTAACTGCTCTTATAGAAATTCGACGATTCTCGATGTATACTTGTCATGGTCCTGATGTGTTACATCATTAGAATTGACCTCTCTTTCCGATTGCTCTTCTCAACAAGTCCTTGATAATATGTTTATAGTCATTTCTCCCATGGTGCCTTCTTCTGCGCCTGTTTTTCTTGTCTAGCCTTTTCTCTCCTCGCTTTGCTTGTTCTTTCTTCTTTTTACTTGGAAAACAAAAACTGATCGAGAGCCACTTCAATTTTCTAGAGAATTCAGGGTTTTGAAAAAAAGTAACAGCAACTGATTGAGAGTTGCTTGAATTGGATTGAGAATTTGAGGAAATGGATTGCCCTCTTTCAAAATTCCTCATGGGCTCCTCATTCCGGGACCAGAGTTGGGTGGATGGGTACTTCGTTGGAAGAAAGCTCTCGCTTTTTAAAAAACTGAGGGCACATAGAATGGCAGCCTCATAAAGCTGCTCTTGTGACTATTTTTTTGGCTGAAGTCAAGCGTCTTTGGGTCCTTCTGGCAGATTTCCTATGGACGCACCGAATATACAGCAGGGGTGGATTTCATCCAATTTGAATGCAGTAGCTTTGGCTTCCAGTCTAGTCGTCTACACCAAGCGGATTGTGTGGGCCAACTAACAAGCAGTATATCTCCGGAGTCTTAGGTCAGTGGCCCAAAGACCTTAGGTGCGACCTGAATAATAAAACCCCTCGGTAAGAATTCAAGAGCAGACATCGTCTCAGGGGGAGAACCCCTCACTACGCCGCATTATACAACGCAAGGTTATCTTCGCAGGGTGCTCTTACTCCCTGGAAAGTGTTTCTTGATAATTGAGAACGATGGAGGAAGCAAAAAATGCAGGGAATTATCCTATTGAGTCAGATGGTGCACGTTTCATTTTCTTTCCTCATCCTCCTGAATGGTTTTTTTTGGTGGTCAGCGTGAACGTTAGCAAAAATGGAAATCAATGGGATGTGACAGATGACATCATGACAGTGTGTTTGGCTATTAGTTTAATTTCATCACAGTATCGAGTATTACAAGGAGGAAGGATTGCTTGATGGGGGATGTGAGGTGCAAATATAATTGTAATGTCAGTCACCAGAGATACAAGCGAAATTATGGACGAACGACTTCTCCCTTCACAACATGCTCCCTTCAACGGAGCGCGCTTGATCAATGATCATTCGACTAGAATTCGGCAGAGTGGGCATGTGGCCTGAGTGTACACCCAACGCTGGAGAGGAGTAAAACAACCAGAGAAAAAAAAGGGACAAGGAATCAAACGTCAGGGAAGTGGTCAATTTGAGAAGAGGAAGAGAATTTGAGAAGAGGAAGAGAATTTGAGAAGAGGAAGAGAATGCGTCAGACTCACTGAGAGACAGCTCCGATGGAAGTGATGAGTATCGTGGCATGCTAGGACGACGACCTGAGAGTCTGGAGCATATCTAATCAAACAGATTGTACAAGTAGCGGGCCCCCCGGGAGCGTCTTCGGAGACTAGATGGGCAGGAGGAGGTGAAGAGTCAGGTTGACTGTAAGTGTAAGACAAATGGAGCCTATGGAATCTTTCAGCTGCTTCCTCGACGTATTCATCGACGGCTGCTATGTACTCTGACAGCAGGGCCTCAGTCCAAGCAGGGTCAGCTGAATTTAGGATCTTAATGACGAGAAGACGGTCGGAGAGGAGAACCAAATGGTGATGGAACTCTGGGATTTGGAAGTTTTGGTAATAGTCGATCCGCTCCCGGAAAATGTCACGCAGGTCGTACAGAAAGCCCCGGACGATTGCCCGCGCGAGGGGTTGGAGCTGCTCGAGAATCTCGGCCATGGACTCAAATTCTTCGAATTGGGGCAAGGGGAAGGACATGGGGAGGATGCCGGCAGGGCGGAAGAGTTCGCTGTAATCCAGCGGTTCGAGAGCTTCTTCGGCGTCGTCTTCGACCGCCTCAGCGGCCATGTCTTCGTCTTGGTCGGCTTCTTCAACCTCCATTCCTGCGTTATCATTATCATCAGACTGTTTGGATTCCGGGATCGCGGCTTCTTCGGCCTGCTCAGCGGGTCCCTGAAGGACCTCTTCTTGCTCGACTGGACCCTCTACGGGGTCCAGTTGTGCAGCGGCACTGGGGACACTGAGGCCTCCCTCGCTTGAAAGGCTCTCGGACGAATCGCCTGGATTCGACGGTGGGTCCATATTTGTGTGGCTTTGATTTTTCGGTGGTTTGGGTGCTGCTCTAAGAGTAAGATGGAGAGGTAGTTATCGGGGAGCCTTGAACCTGCTGTGATGTGCGATGATGGGGAACACGGCTATGGCAATAGCCCGTCGTCTTATATGGACTCCACTGGATCTTGATGCTGCTCTGGCTCAGCAGCCCTGTACCATAAATTTGCTGATTTTCGGCGCGACATTTCCTAGATAGCAAGCATGAGGCTTTCGAAATGAAGTGAAAGGAAAAGTCTCAGCTGGGAGAAAGCCATGGACTAAGGCGACATTTGGATGCGAGCGAATTCGACAGAATCCCGACAAATGCAAGTCTTCGGTTAGAAGCAGTTCGATCTTGGCTCACAAGCTCGTATGTTGCTAATTAGCACTTCAGATGCCGCATCAAGATGGATATGAACGAGTCTGGCCAGTTGGGCTAGGAGCCCGTTATAAGGATGATCTTTCGCAAGACTGAGCTCAAAGGCCATTGCCCCATCTCGTTTTGATCCTTATAAGACAATCGCGGCGCATTCTTGCTGACATTCATCATCTATGCCTCCTTTTGAAAAGCTCTGGCGGAGGACTTTTGCAAACATAGACCATATAATAAGGCATCCATGTCCTATCTTACGGAAAGCTCTGTAGCAGTTGTAATTCCGTTGCTCAATGGTGAGGATGTCTGGACTTCCCGTTGAGAGGCTGATCGAGCCGCAAATCGCGTTCCTTCACTTCGCTAAACCAGATTCCAGCTGGAGGTACGTATAAAAATAATTGAAATCTGAAGTGACCTCTGACTTTTTTTTGGCAAGTTTCCCTACATAAGTTTCCCAAAAGGGGTTTTCACTGGAGCCCCCCTTCTGCTTAGGTAATCGATGACGTGCATGGATTGGCCGTGACTCTTTCAAAGGAAGGAAAGACCAAGTCGAGCAAGAACCACAAGAAACAGAAAAAAAAAAATAAAAAAAAAGAACATGTTCAATCGAAACACCCACCAATCAGGACCAACCCTACAACATCCCAAACCAGTACCACCACCATTCAACCTCCCAGCCTCACCACCCATACCAGACAGCCAAACATTCACCAGCAATCAGAATAACAATAACCCATACGGCCATCCAACAAACGATCGAATCAGAACGAGCACGGCCTCATCATCAGACTACCAACGATTCAGCTCACCCCCGGCTACTTCAAATGAACTCGATCAACCATTCTTCTCAAACCCTTCTCAAGCACCTCAGAATAACTTCAACCAGTTCCAGAACTCTCCCCCCAACCCACACCACCAACACCATCTCCAACATCAGCAACAGAACCCATGGCCCAATCCAAATCCTATCGGAATCGGCCCTTCCAATAACTTCTCAAACCCATTCGGAGTTAATGATATGACCGCACAGATGGGCATGCAATTCGGCCAATCCGCCATGAAAGCTGGCTCTGAATATGTCGAGAAAAACGCAAGTAAACAACTCAACCAAGAGCTCCACGATAAAAATGAATTACTTGACTGATTTTCTTTATTTTTCTTGGAAATCTGGAACAGTTAACGAGATATTTGCCTCTCACACATCTAAAGCATTCATTCAACGTCTCGAACTTGTACGTGTTCAACAAGATCAAGTTGATCCTATTTCCATGGAGACATAAACCCTGGTCAAGATTAGTCCAACGTTCCGAAGTGTCTGGCCAAGTCGAAGGCTACCAACCACCTCGGGAGGACATCAATTGTCCTGATGCTTATATTCCTGGTCCGTTCTTTCCCCCCGTCTTGCACTTCCATACAAGCAAAAAAAAGATTGATTCAGCTACTTCTTCTCTCGTCTTAGTGATGGCCTTGATGACTTATATTCTCCTGTCTGGAGCCGTCGCTGGTTCGAAAGGAAGATTCGATCCCGAGCTGCTATCGATCGCTGCATCTCAAGGTAGAGCTATTCCCGCAGGTCCCAAAAGTGTCATGACTGACTAAATTGCTTCCTTTTTTTTGACACTTGTAGCATTAGGGATAATCTTTTTAGAGTTTTGTTGTATAAAACTCGGATGCTATTTATTGAATATTCAAGGAGACGGAGCAGTGATAGACTTGGTAGCTTATTCGGGATACAAATTTGTAGGGTGAGCCAATTTCCGAGGATCAATTGGATCCAAAAGAGCAATTGGGCCACAATTGACGATTTTTGATTGGTTCATACTTCTAGGATTATCGTTAGCTTATTGGCTAGCTTGGCTGGCTTGAGGTCTTCGATTTGCTGGGCAATATTTGTTTATGTGTTCGCAGCTAATGCGTTTTTTCTGGTATGTCGACGATCCTATTCACAGCCAATTATCACTACATTCAGTCCTAACAAGGAATCGGACAACTCATTAATTGATTCTTCTTTTTCATTTTCGAAAATTCAAACATGATCTTTATGATAAATTCTAGCTGAGATCCTTGAGATATGTGATCTTGCCTGATCCAAGCGGACAGAGCTTTGGATCAGCAACGACATCGACCGTCAATTCCACCCAAAAATCAAGGCGGATCCAATTCCTATTTGCTATTTCAGTCAGTCAATTAGCATCCATGTGGCTGTTAAGCAGAGTGTAATAAAAAGATGAATGAAATCAGATTGTCTCTCACATCTCCTGCTCTTAAAAGAGTTTCCATCATGTTTCCTTTTTCCCTCTTGTCATTTTTTGTGCCCTCCTCCTTCAACAAAAAAAAACTCAATCAAGATATTTAAGTATCTTTTGTTTCAAATGTTGTGCATAAACAGTTTAGTATCTTGTTTCCTCTCACCTGGTAGTTCCTTCTCCCCTTTTTTTTCTTTTGATCAGCAGGAGGGGAATAAGTCTTCATAGTTTCTCTTGTTCATACTTCCATCATCATGCCATTATATATACATAGAAGCTCTATTTCTCTCTGTCTTCCTCTCACAAACACAATCCAATTTTCTCAGTTTGAAAAAAAGTTCAAGTATCAGACACAGAGGTTGATTCATAGATGGTAGCTACTGCATGAGGGATCTAAGCTAACCAGCAGAAACTGAGACCATGCACAAAAGCCTTATTTCATATGACTGGCCAGTTTGTTGGAGCTGTGGTGGAAGATTCAGGAAAGAACAAGATTTCATGAAATGCATGTTTTAGATTTTACTATTGTGTTTTGAAGGAACCTTGGACTCAAAATCACAAAAATCCAGATTTTTAAGGGAAATTTAATTATAGATTATGGCATCAAGAACCTATGATGCCATCATTGGGTTATGATAGCACTGTAATGCTGAATTATGATCAACAGCTCACTCCAAACCAGGCCAGACCAAGCTTCATATACAATCCCCATATCAATCAATCAACCCTGCAAGTTACAACATGTCACGCTTTGGCATTGAACTCTTTGCAAGGGAGAATCCACCACCGGGAATGGGATACCACTCTGCCGCAGAGAACTACCACATCCACAGCATTGGTCCCCAACCGGCAAATCCTACTGTGAGTGCTTTACATCCAATGTTTGTTTGTATTGAAGAGACTAAATCTTCTTGTTAATTCTGAAGCCCCAGATGGTTCAGTGCAGCATTTTGTTCTTGCTGTATTGGCCCAAACAGAACAAACTGGGGTGCAACACTGTAAAATCAGAGAATGCTTTTCCAATAGCCTTCAACTTCAAGATAAGATCATTAAGCCTTGTTTCCACCAAGGCCAACAAGCTTGTGGACAATGCTGGTGGACTTATAGACAATGCAGTTGCAAGTTTGCAACTGGATCTCTGCATTGTGGTTGGTGATCCATTCTTCATCACGTTTCTCTGGGTATAAGCGTGGAGCTGACACAAGGGGGGTTAGTGACACCTTGTGGTCAGTGACCGCACTTATGTGGGAAAAAAGGGGAAGAAAATGGGGCTAAATACTTTTTCTCTTTACCCTTTGACCTGGAAAAACTTAGACAGAGTATGGGCAAAGGGTGTGGGGGAGAAGAGGGGGGGGGGGGACTCATTCTCTAAGCCCCCCACTTTTTAAATTTCTAAGGGGAACAGTATATGGGTGGGTGGGTGGTGAAAGAAAAACTCAGAGATATGACACAATGAAGTGGAGTGAGTGTAGGCGGCGACTAGAACTGGGAAGGGTCAACAGAGGAGTTGGGAAGAGAGGGGACTATTGAAGCCTCCCTATAACCAACAAGCTAGAGGTCTCTTTGGCCCAGCTCTATGCCTGGATGGCCATGGACGGTGGGGAATTGTCTGTGCCTCTGTCACCTAATCTTTCCAAGGGTGTCCCTTTCTTTAACCTTGCAAACAATCTCAGGAGATCCTTGTCAGTGAACAAGCTTTCATTGGAAGAAAGCAAAAACACAGAGGCATCAGCTGATGTTAACAATTGATGCAATGCTCAAAAAATCACTGGTAAATACAAGAAATTCAGCAGGGATGAACTCCATTCATTCAACATATGCATACTTGGCAGTAAGTAACTTTTGGATGTTCTTTGTGTCAGGTTTTTGATGGTGATGGATAAACGCTCCACAAGGGTCCTGTGAATGCCAGGGATACTGGGGAGTACTCCAGAGGCATCATACAATCACTCTCATATCTTTTCCAGGAAGAGGCTCTGATCAGGAAAGTTGACTCATCTTGTGTGAGATTAGCAGGTCATCTGCATGCGTCATAAGTATCTGGATCTCTGATGATTCAGTGGGTTTCTTTGTAGAGTTGGTTCCATTGGTGGAAAGATTGTTGTGAGAATTGAAAACCAATCATATTCTTGATGAGTGCAGCGGAAAGACCTTGCTTGGCCATTCAGACAATGAAAATTTTGGTTGCTGGGATATGGAAGCTGCAAATCATTGGTGGTTGGTGTTGAAGAGAGGGATTGATGAGAAGAAGGGGGGTGGGGGGTGAAGATAGTGTTGGTTGGAAGACAATGTGAGATGGTTGGTTTGCAGATATATTTAGATGATCATTGGTTGTTGCATCATATCACTGTTGTGTTGGGCAGAAACAGCAGGATCAAACTTGCTATAGGAATCACAAGTGCATACTTCAGAATTTCAGAAAAGCAAAAAAAAATCCAAGCTTTTTCCAAAACACAATTATCTTAACCTAGATTAGTGATAAGCATAACCCTAACCTGCATAGATCATTTAAATAGGATATTTAGTCTATGTGGTTGTGATCCTGGCTCTCTTTCTCTTTCCTTGCCAAAATTGGAGCCCAGGACCCACAGGACCATCTAGTTCATTCCTTTTATGTAATTTACCAATATTGGAGGTCAGGACTTTCATGTGCTGTTAGCTAAACATGAAAAAGCTGTACCACCCAGTTTCCATTTGCTTACATTGCATTTGTCAGTGTTGTGTGCAAGCGTAACATATGTGAAATCTGCTCAAATTCTGTCCAATTTTTCAGGGACTTCACTCATCACACTGTTACAATGTGCTAACAAATGGGGCCTTAGGCATCTAACACAGTTCAAACAAGCCCAAATCTTATTGAGAAATTAAATTAAAAAATAATGATACTGTATAAGTGAATTGAGGTAAGAGTAAGGGAATTTAGCTAAGAGCAACAGTGAAACCAATAAAATACATGTATCTGTATCTGTTTTTTTCTGAATACATTGTATCTGTATCATATCCAAAAACAGATACTATCACTGCAAGAAAAATTCAGGAAACTGTGTGCAGTTGACATGTGGCACCTTGGTAATATTGCATGTCAACTATGTACACGCAGTCGCCTGACTTTTTCTTGCAGTGTATACAAATGTATCAAAATTCTAGTATGTGGTCAGAAATACAGCCCAATACAAAAAATGTGATACTGTATCTTTTTGTATCTTCCAAAATTTTTGTTGCAAACAGTCAAAATTGGCTAAAAATGTGTAGTGGGTTTTTGATACAATACAATTGTATTTTAATTTGTGCCTGATTTGAGATACAATACAAGTTACACATTCTTTGATGTATCAGAAAAAAGATACAATACAAAAGTATATGCAGATACTGTATTGTATTGTATCTGTTTCACCATTTCTATTCTGCACTACGCTAAACGACCCACTAATGTTAGCATAGCGGCCCTCAAAACAGTTTGCCAGCACTGTAGTGTTAGCACACTGTTAGTCCCACTACGCTACATTACACGGCCCTACAGCACTTTTGGTGGTAAAAACTGCCAATTAACCACCAAAATGTGCTGTAGTGCAGCATAGTGGGCCCTTTTTTGTGGTCTGCACACATACTGTTAGTGCATTCATGGCAGAATTCTGCTGTGCTACGCTAAATTTGAGCGGAATTCTGCTACATTACATTGCACTAGCACTACAGTTAGTGTAATTGGCCCATTTTTTCTAGGGGGGGGGGGGGGAAGGGTGAGTGTGAGAATTTATTTTAAAAGGGAGATTGAAACTTTTTAGATATCTTAGATAGAGACAAAGCAAGAAGTATAAACTAAAAAATTGAAATGGTCCACAGAATAGTATCCATGTATCTGCCACTACAGATAAACAATCTTTGACACTTGATGAGGTTGCACAGCAAGATATAAAATCCCTATCCAGGAGAGCTAAAACAGGGAGCTCCTGGAAATGGTACTGATTGTATCAGTTAACAAAATACCGTTAGAAATGACATATGATCTATTCAAAGAAGGCAGGCTTTTACCTTCCACAATGATAATGACTTGAGTCTTTCAAGCTGCTCCACTTGTATCTACCTCCAAATTAAATGGACAGCTCATCTTCTGCTTAGGGTTCAACAGTTTCAGGAAAATAGTTGGTTAGTTCAATATCAGCATTGCAGTGGGGCAATTCAGAATGAATGGCAAGGTTGGTACTAGTTGTCGGCTTTCCTTTTTCTGGGGTAGATGAATTTTATGTGGCCTTTCACAGGTTGAATTGCTGATGAATTAGATAACAAGTGTAAGTTTAATGGGATGGGAAACACACTTGGAAGGTTGAGAGTTGTTATCTGCAATTTAATATTGTTGCAATAACAATTGCATCACATCAGAGGCCCTTCTCAAGATAGTTGTCAATATTTTTGTTCATCTTACTGAACAGTGCCTGGTATTTGGGTTTGATTTCCCTCCTCTTCCTCTTGGCCAAGTAACGTTTGAGAATATTTATTCCGCAATCATTATGCTTGTGCAATAACAATTGCATCACATTAGATGTTATGATTTTTCTTGTACCCAAAACAGTGCCTATCAGATGATTGAGACTTCCTTGATTAGAACCATCTCTGTAACAATCAAGAACAACCTGGTACTGGGGTAAACAATTTGTGTTATACAATGCTAATTTTTTTGGAAAGATAGTCATTTTGCAGGGGAGCTAATACTGAATACAAATAATTGGAAAAAAATCTAAAAATTACACAATAAAAAGAGGCATCACACCAAAATAATTGGTCAACTTATCAGATAAAACAAGAGATAGAACATATTGGCTTTTATTTTTGCTTTAAATCTATGGGTTTAGAAAAAAGACTCCCAAGTATTTGATGACAACTCCCAAATACCATCAACAGACATGCCTTGGGGGGCATTCCTCCAAACAGGTGGCCAACTTTGGGAGTCAGCAATCCAGATTCCATTTATATTATTTATTTTTTGATTTTTTGGGAGTTGGTTCCCCAAACCACCCCTCATGCTTGGGAGAATTAGGTAGTTGCTCCCACATTACTGGAAAGATTTCCTTCCAGTTGGAAATACAAAAACTTCATCAACCCAAGGGGCCTTCTTCCGATCAAAGAGGTATACCTCATTGACCAACCAGAAGGATTTCTTTCAAGTTGATGAGGTATAAAAAACACATTTACCAGAAGGAATTTCTTCCAGTAAAAGAGGTATACCTCATCAATTAACCAGATGGTTTTCTTCCTGGTTGATGAGGTTGTTTGGAATGAAATCCTTCCAGTCATGTGGGAGAGACTCCCAATGCCCCCCCCCCCCCAAACACAAGGGGTGGTTCTTGGGGTAA